CCCCCCTCTTTTCCCCCATTCCCCGTCTCAGTGTGTGTCTCTCAGTCTCTCCCTTTCTGGGTGAAATAATGCCATCTCGAGGACTACCATTCCTCATTTTTCGAATAAAAGAAACGGACAAAAATGGGTCCGTTTCGGACGTTGGTGGGTATCAAAACCGACGAGAGTGGGTACTTGAAAAGTGTCGAGGGTTTCGGTGGGTACACCAAGCGAAATTTCGGACAAAATCGGGCGACGTGTACATCCTTGTGCGCCGCGGAAGTGTGTGGGGTGAAGACATGCCTGAAAGTCCGCAAAAGTTGATGAAGGCCCCTGCCCATGTTGTCTAGGCATCGGAACGAAGTTTTGAGTGGTTCGGCCCTGTGACGAGTGGTCTCCGCGAAGCAAGTTTTCGACTACCCACTTTTGTCCGAAAAAGGGCGACCCACTGTTTTTTTCCCTTCTGAAGATCATGAAAAGTGACGGGCACCCTCCCTGATGCAGGTAATTAATGCCCTTGTGTGTGGTGTCCTTAAGATGCAAGGACAACTGCTGTGTGTCTAACCGTGTGATGCTCGCCCGTCTTCTCTTCTCTTCTCTTCTCGCCAGGGGGCCCGACACAGTGGTGATCACCAGCAGCCGACTGGCAGGCTCCTCGTCGAGCGGAGGAGGAGACCCCGCCGTTGGTGGCGGGGGTGGGGGAGGAGGAGGAGGAGGAGGAGGAGGAGGAGGCGGGGACGATATCGTTCTCGTGGCCAGCACCCGACGTCGGCCCCGCCGCTCGCGAGCAGAAACGCCGTCGTTACCGTCGTCTTCGTCGAGCTCCTCGGCAATACCCGCGCCGCTGCCGCCGCCACCGCCGCCGCCACCATCAGCGGAAATAACGGGGCACGATGAGGTCGACGGCGGCGGCGGCGGCGGCGGGCAAGGCCCAGCAGCATCCGGGGGCGACAGCGGCGGGGGCGGTGGAGCGCCGCGAAATCGCCGTGGACAAGCTGTAGCGGTCGCTGGCAACAACGGCGGAGACGCCGGCGGCGGTGGTGGCGGCGGTGGCGGTGGTCGAGGGGGTGATGGTGGCGGCGGGGCGGAGGCGGCGGGCGGGGGTGTTGGTAGCAGAGCGACGAGGAGCGCGGGTGGGGGGGACGGAGCGGGTGGGGGGGGTGGGGGGGACGGCGGTGCTGGTGGAGGGGGGCACGTGGATGGGGCAGAAGCTGGGGCGGGAGCGGGGGAGGCGGGGGCAGGGATGGGAGAAACGGGTGGCGATGGCGGTGGCGGGTTCGACGTGTACCGGATGACTTTTCCGCGCCTTCCGCAGGAGTTCACGGGAACGGGAGACCTCGCCGCGGCGCTCCTATTGGCGTGGACTCATAGGTACTAGCACGCTCGCTTTTTTCTGCCGCAGTACTTGAGGGGGGCACGTGCGCACGTAGCTTATAGCACGTCCCTGCTGCCATCGTTGGGTGTTTTGACGCGGTTCAGGCGCACGCACCACATTCGCACGTCTGCCCGTGTCGCTCTGCTCCAGGTGCAGTCGTCTCCGCTGTCAAGGCGCTCGAGTTACCCAATTTCCCCGCGCTCTAGAAAATTGTTTTTTCAGGACCATGGTGCCCCCATAATTTCGAACATCTACAGCAATACGGGGGGTTGTGATACCCTACATAAGCTTCCAAAGTTGAAATATGTGTCCTTCTTTGTCGAAAAATACACGTGCGTACCTAATAGCGAGAATGTCGGTACGGAGCGTGAAGGCGGCGGTAGTGGTATGCAGCTTCACAGAGTACTCAGCTGAAAGACTCAACCGGCCAACCATTCCTGGCCAACCATCACTGGTCTCTTGTCATTCACTCCTGTGTGTGTTCGTGTGTCGTTCGACTGCTGAAGGCTGCCGGGGGATCTGGCGGGAGCGCTCGAGCGAGTGGCGGGCACGATGAGGGCCGTCTTGAGGAGAACTCACACCCAAGGTACAAAACAAACTTCAACTCCTGCAGCACTAGTGCTCTGTCGCGTCGATTCCGCGAAGCACCCTGTTGTGCGCGTCGTCAAATGGCGCATGGTGTTTCAGTAGAATGGTGGTGGTCAGAAAGAAACGTCCTTGTACTACGATGGCAAGACTATTTCTTCGGATTTGAAGCCACTTTTCGAACACTGATGTTGGCAAGGGACTCGGCAGTACCGTTTTTGGTTGCGTTGGGGCTGTACAGGGTTTCGGGTTGTCGAGGTGTGCTCACCCTCTCAAGCGTGCCTGTCGCATGGCCTCCATATCTTGAATCCACGTGTCGCGCAGGGTCTGGGGAGCTCCTTCTGGTGCAAAGCAAGGAGGACATTGAGCGGCCACCTTTGGAGCTGAGAGCCACCGTGATTGCGCATGCCACGGGGCAGTGAGAGCCGGCCGAATTCGGAGAGCTACAATTGCGGCCACAAGCGCTTGCTTTTGGTGTCGTCATGGATACAATGCACACCTAGGGAGATACGTTTAGAATTCGTTTCCGATTTACTTGTTGCGCAGCCTTGTTTCAAGTTTTTGCCAGACAGGTGCCGTTGACGACGTCATTTGTCCTGCAGCTTGCTCGAGGGTTGTGGTGATATGGCGACACCACTCGTAGAGCAGAATGATGAAGCCAGTCGAAGAGGTCGCTGCCCTTGTTGTGGTGGTTCTAGTCGCTCGTCGCGGCGGAACAAGGCCGCCGCATTTTTCTCGTCGAAAGCAATGATTGTGAATAGGACTCGATGTGCCCCCCCCACGTCGGGGTTTCTTTTTTAGATACATATTGTAGCGCGTGTGACGTTCTACGTAGATGGCGGGTCTCGCGTTCTGTACCCGACACGTCCCCATCCGGGGCCGTGAAGCATGTTCCCCCCCTCCCCGTGTGCATGCCTTCAGGTTTACCCACGTTTTTTTTGTGTGTTTTTTTTTACCCGTCCTCGCTCTCGTCAACGATTAATACTATTTAATTGGTCTTGGGAGTTTTGTGTACACTCGTGAACGAGCGAATTTCGAGACACAGTCGTCGCTTTTGCATTTTTGAACACAATATCTAGATGGAGTATCTTAAGGTTTCCAAGGGTATGCATGCCCTGTGCGCAAGGCACCGGGGCGAACCTGCCGTGTGTGTATTGATTTTTTTTTTTTTGATGGAAGTTGTTTGGATGGACCGCGCTAACCGGCTGGCCAAGGAAAAGACGTCGCCAGTCTTGCAGCGGGATACAAACGAGGGTCGGTGCACTTTGTTTTGCTCATCACATAAAATCAGCGCTCACACAGAGAGATCGAGAGAGCAATTCTGCCGCGTAGGAGGCATCTACGATCAGTGGTCACTTGGCCTTTCCCCATGATGCTCGAGCGTCAAAAGGCATTAAAGCATCTCGAAATTTTGGGCAGACGTCGCGCGCATTTGACCGAATTGAGCATTATTGACCGAAAAACGAGCGCATTATTTTTAACCGCTCCCTGAGGGCCCTACCCACGCCTCCTCCGGTGCTTACCTTCAAATGTGCAGATGCTGACGAAAAAACGCACACGCGCAGAACCTGTTGACTAGAAAGCGTGTTCGTTCGCGCTTACCCACTCCTAGCAGTCGTACAAAAAATCGCACGCCGCAGCCTCGTACTGGACCAAAAAATTAGTGCGAGGGTATCGAACAAGTTCCTCCGTCCCTGTGCGAGAAGGTCACAATAAAAAAAGTCCGGCACCTTATATGATGAAAACACAACACCTTGTCCTTGTATATATACACATCTGCATACCATAGTCTACATCCTCGTTATTTCAACAATCTGTACGGCTAAGAACAATGACTTTTATTGACAAAGCCGCGCCAACCTGCCGGGTGGTGAAGAAGGACGTCAGCCACCGACGGCCACGAAACAATCCTCCATGCCATTCATTGCCATCCATCCCGCCAAGGATGATAACCGGACGTCAGCCATCAACCGGTACAACACACGCCTCCATACCATCGGCTACGAAACGCCCCTCGATACCATCGGCTACGAAACGCCCCTCGATACCATCGGCTACGAAACACGCCTTCATACCATCGATCGTGCCAACGATGATAACGAGGACGTCAGCCATCCAAGGTTACAAAATACGCCTCCTCCATACCGTCGATGCCGCCGACGGAATCGACCGCGGGAGGAGGCTCAACGGGTCATACCCCGATCAGGGGGCTGGACACTGCGTTGCGGGCTATCGTAGCGAAAGCTCTACAAGTACACATCACGCAAGGTCATCACCGAAACAGCGTGGCGAGTACCCGTCTATGCATCTATCCCCGGTTCTTTGACCAAAAAACTTTGAGAGCGGGCACTTCGTACGCCCTGCAGAGGACAAAACCAGCTCAAACTTTGAAATATTTACATTTCCCCGCCACAGCAGTACCAAGAAACCGAAAAAGTAGTACATCCGTCCCCCCACGAATGAAAGCGTAACCAAAGATCCCCTTGGTGTCGCAAATACACGAACCCCTCTGTCGCAAGCAACGGAGGAGCCAACACCAACAACACCAACAGCAGCAACACCTTTCCATCCGCGGCATGCACAACCTCATCCATGTAGAGGCAGGCACCAGGTAAGCGCTCGCCAGAGAGCCACTCAACGGAGGAAGACAAAAGAAATATCGCACACGAGTGAAGATAGTTTCTGCGCCAAGAGTGCAGACGTGGGAAGCCAATGCTCCATTCAACAGCACCCGCCATCCTCTAACAAAATTACAACGTGGTACCATAATAGCTCATAGCGGGAGCGGGGGGGCACTGAACAAAGGAAAGGCAGAACCCATACCCACCCGAATATGCTTGTCAGGCCCTTCCTTCGCAATGCCAACCACAATCTAGATACGTCCAACAAGGGTATAGCTACATGTCGCAGATGAACTGTTGACTGGGAACACGGCCCAAACCCGCCTCTGAGCGACTTCACAAACCACCTTTGTTGTCTCTCGTTGATACAAGTGAGGGGGGCTTGACGCACCACTTCCGAATATGACACAAGATAACACACCCCCTTGACCGATTTCCAAAGCTCGATTTCTCAACTGCAGGAACAGTCACCGCGCCGAAAACGACGGCGTTGAAACCGTCTCGTCGAGAGATTTTCGAAAATGTATCGTTTCGTTTATGCATCCACTTCGACGTGGAGTAATCGAGCTTGAAAATTGGTCCAGGGGGTGTGTTATCTTGTGTCATACGGTGTATCGATTGTCCGTGATCAGCCAAATCTGGTGGATGACGGTTGTTGCTAGGGAGGGTTTAGACAGGAGATGATGACGGGGTTTCTGCAGCGCGTTCTATTGTCACAATATGATTAGCGTCTCGCCAACGCGGTACGTACGGCAGCAAAAGCGACTCCGCTCGGATCGCCTACGCAGGATTCCAAGAGTATCTAGGAAAAGCATACGGCGGAGGCACGCATACCCTATCCCCAACCCTAACCCTAACCCTAACCCCAAAGCACGGATTGAATACTTTATCCCACATGGATGTTTAATCAATTTTGCTGCGTAGAATACTGCTCCGCTCGTTCGCCGACGTGTTGCTGGATCGCCATGTCACGGAGAAACGTGAAGGATGGCCTTCATGCGGACAACAACCTGACGATGGTGATGGTGATGCAAAGAAAGCGACGTTATAGTTGTGGGGATCGGCAGGGAAACAAACGCAGGCGCGGCCGCCAGATGGAAAAATCAATCGAGGAGCGCGTTGAGGGAGGGGAGGGCACACAACGAGAGAGAGCGTCGAAGGTGAGAAAACAAGTGAGGCTACTGCGAAGCAATCAGACAAATAGGATCAAAGCATGGAGAGACGAGAAAGCGCGCAGGAGAGACAGTTGAATTAGCAGAACAGACAGACGGACAGCCAGCGAGACAGAAGGAAAATACCAGCTTCTCACAATGATGACAAGCAAAATTTAAGACCGATTGTGTGGGTTGGTGTGGTTCTCGGTGTCGACAGGTACCGGATCCACTGGCCAGAGGTGTTCATCTCTGCAGTCTGACCGGTCCTTCCTCCAACCCAAGGTAGTTAGGTAATCAACTCCGCGCAATCAACAACTTTACCCGCACAGAAAGCTACATACTTTCCAACCGGGCACACGACGTTACATTCACTCTACGGTAGAGCCAAACATGACCCCCCCATATGGTACACCCCCCACCCCTCCCTGCATCACAACAAACTGGTGATATGACACGCAACAAAATAAGTACCGAAGACATATTTCTTTGTTGTTTCCACCTCGGCAATATCGGGCCGTAGAGCGGGGTCACCGCTCCAGCAATCCTTGAGCAGGGTCTTGAACGCCCTCGGCCAGCTAGGGTCCACCTCCGGTCGCTCTCCTCCGATCTTTCGTGCCGTCAGTACAGTACACGCGAGGAGGTGGGACACAAGTCAAGAAAAGGTGTGCAACGAGTTGGGAAAGGGATAAAAACGAGCAGTATCCTTCCCGAGGATACCAAGCTGGTTAATAGTAGGGGGCAACGGGTGGGGTTACGGATTCATTTCATAGACTGACACAAAATCTCGGGAATGCGGTCCTGAAAAAGGTTCGTGGGTGGTAGCAGAACATGGCGACGTTTGGTGGAGGGCGGAGTGCCGGCAGGCTACGTACACCCTAACCGCCGCCCAAACTACCTTACCGCAAACACAGAACCAGCACAGCAGTGCACCAAACGAAGCCCATCACAGTCGCACACAGCAATAGCACGCACAGCCGCCTGCAACCCGTTCACGCATCCTCTGCAAACTCACCCCGCCGCCTACCTTCCTGGCGCCTACTTGGGGCAGGCAACGCACAGAGGAAGCACACCATAACCAGAGACTCGAAAAGCGAGCGAGAAAAACCTCCTGCAAACGGTGGTCCCACCACCGCCATCCGGGAAACAAACAAAAAACAACCCACAGCGACTCTTGAGTAGAAAGCGCTTCGCCCTATCCCCTCGAAGGGGGTGCTCCCGGAAGCGACCGCCCACGCCAGCAGGGCCCAGCTGTACACGTCAGCTTTGTCCCCGTGCGGCAACGCCATGGAAACCTCGGGAGCGGCGTAACTTTTTTCAAAGGGCCGGCGGACCGGGGGTGGGCGGGGAGGGGTAGTGTGCGGGGTGGGGGGGCAAAGAATAAGGCGATACCATGCGAAGCTCAACAACAGACGTGACAGAATACTACTGTGTGAGAGTACCCTTACTCCGTCATGAGTGAAGGTCATTGAAGTGGTGAATAACCGTTCACCAACGGGGGGAATTTCGCTCTTACTGCAATGTGGCAAGGAATGGCCAAGCGTGGTTGACGTTAGTCGACCTTGCTAGGTTGTACGGTGAGAGTGAGCCTCAGGGGACTGCTTCCACCCTCCGGCTGGTCACAGCAGACGGAGGGTCTTTTCGTTGAAAAGATCTTCAGACCTCGAGAACGTCGTTCTTAGGGTCACCGATCCTTAAAGTTTTATGTGCGTCCCTACTACTGGCAAGATACCTATATCCTGCTTTCCACATTGCCCTCCTTTTTGTTCGCCGAAAATCCATGTTTCTGAAATCATTGTTTATTGGCGCTCATTCTCAAGTGAATGAGGGGATGCAAGTGGATTCTGGTTTCCACATGTGAAACGATTGCCTTGGAACTGCTTAAATACTGGCGGACGGATAACGAATACACTTAAGAGTTTCGACGTGCACATGTAGTCTCAGCAGGACGAAACCACGAAACGGGGGACAACTTCACATCGCACCGGCGGTTTGACCACGCTGGATTAAAAGAAAAGGAGTATCTCCGCCTCCCGCGTCCTCTGTCCCTCTCTTCTCTTCTCTTCTCTCTCTCTCTTGCCACACNTGTAGGAATGCGAGGTCAATGGTATAACGACTATGGCATGCACAACTACGAGTACGCCCCCCCCCCCTCGGTGTATCGCGGTGTCTCTGCCTCTTGCTTACCGTAGGCTACCGGCCTCCCCGACGAGGCTGTGGCCTTTCGCTATCGCTTTCGACAGCCCGAAATCGAACATCTGTGACAATCGAAATCGGCACGTGAAAAACAAAATTGCAAAACAGGTAAATTAAAAAAACATTATAGCAGACCAGGGTCACGAACGAGGGAGGAAACTACGGAAAGATCGAAGGACAGGAGAAAGTGACAGGTAAGGACCGGCAATCAGATGGCAACAGTTCATGAAAAACGTGGAGTATTCGGCGCCGGTTGGCATCACCACCTACTGGCCATGGACGTGAGCAGCCAATCAGATTTCAGCGGGGTGGTGACCAACAGGAATGCTTCTGTCTGTACGTCTCTCTTCAATCTCTCTCTCTCTCTCTCTCTCTCTCTCTCTCTCTCTCGCAAATGGCCGGGATTCGGGTTTCAAAGCTATTTACGGCTCAACTTACACGCAGCAAATCCATTTTACAACAAACACGAGCCTCATCCGTTTAACTGGTAACGGCAACTGTGTAATTGCTTCACCGTTATCCCAAAATCCCACCAGTTAGCGGACATACCTTACCTTAACAACATCCCCATGACCAAGGCCAATGTTGTCGGGTCGTACGTCCCGGTGAAGCACCACGGCACCTTCTCGTCTCAAACGGAACGTTCCGCATTCCAGCCGATTTTTCCGTAGGGAGGGAGGCGCGGGTGCAAAAGAGGGATGAGGGGGTCGTGAGACTGACAGACGCAGGTGCCGCGATTCACCAAACACAACATTCAGAAAGCCCCCATGCGATACGGGGGTATTTGTGCCAATCACGACTTCGAGACCGCCGCGTGACATCCACAAGCCCCATTTATTACTGTCGGTCGCAAAGCGTTTTGTCTGTCGCCAAGCGTTTTCTGCTCGCGAGTGAACGCAACAGCAGCAGCAGTAGCAGCAGCAGCAGCAACAACAGCAACGGCTACGGCTACGGCAACACACAACGCACCCATCGCACGCACCTGGGATGGCGTCGTTGTGCAAGTACTGCAGAGCCTCCGCCACCTGCAATACCCTCCCCAGGGTGTAGTTCAGGTCCTTCGTCAATCGCCGAAAACCCTGCTTGAGTGTCCTGCTCAAGATCGTCGGCACAGACAGGTTAGGCAGCAGCACCACGTTGGCGGTAGACACCGGTCGTGTTTGACGAACAAAGTGGGAAGAAACCGTTGCGTGAGTGGCATAGGTGACAAATGACCAGACCCACCACAAATGGAAAGAGACGTGGCTCTACATTTGGCCGGTAGGAGCGCCGCCACGTCTTGCATCATGTCGGAACAGGTGCATCGCCAAGGATCACAGGACAAGATACCACACACACACGCACACACACACACACATACACACACACCTCCAAGGGGCGAGTTTTCCGGCCCGTTTGTTCCACATTTGATCCACAGAGAAACACAGGGTCGAGCGATTCGTCTTGGTACAAAACCTGCACCTTTCCCAGCAGATACATTCCTACTTCTTCCTCGTTGAGGCATTAAGAAGAAGCTAGAGGCGTGCCCTACCTCGCAAGTTTGTTGTTGTTCCCGGGGACTGCTCACGAAAAAAGACGAAAAACAAATGCAACGAAACGCGTAGTAAATGGACCAACTACCGCACGCACTGGTACGCCGATGGACCGCGCATCTGCTCCCTATCGCTGAGAGCGTGGAACGTTCCCAGGGTTCCCTCGGGGAGGTGCTCCAGGAGAAGAAATCGCCTGCCTTCGTGGGTGAAACCCGCTCCCAGCAACTCGACCACATGAGGGTGGTTCACCTGAGGTGTAGGGTTACGGCGAAGGGGCTAGGATAAGTGTCAAGGAGAGGGGAAGTTGACCGGTAGCGTGCGTGCCGTGGTTTTCACCTGCGGAGTGCGCACGGTTTTCTGGTCCCGCAGAGAAGCCATCACTTCCGTTATCAATGGGCGATACCACAGTGGGGGGCCCTGTTTAGTGCCCACATAATTGACCGGCACAATAACCGACACCGGCACAGTTTCAAAGTACAGATGACTTGGTGATTATTCAGTCTGTGCCAGCCGAACAAACCGGGCTTAACACACTATTCAACGCGCACCAAACAACCCTCGCCCCACTATACTTCTTTCGAACTTGAAGCAAGTTCGGTCGCGTCCGTGGGCTCGCCTGTCTGAGCACGTTGAACTCTGCCTCCAGCTGTCGCTCCGCCTGATCCTCTAGCCTGCCGTTGTTCCTCGGCCTCGCCACCTTGGCGATGACTTTCGCCTTACGCCCGGGGATTCTAGCCGTGAACACGGTGCAAGTCAACCCCTGGACAGAACGCACAAAAACAATAAACAAAAAGACACGAGAAACCCAAAACGATGCGCGGCGTGTGTCACAGGTTGAGAAGTGAGTTTCGATTGAGGGATCAACTAAAGGTTGAGAAGCTCAAAGCCATGCGAGGTGTCACAGGTTGAGACGGGCTCCGATTGGAGCAGCAACGAAAAGCTTGAGAACCCCAAAACGATGCGCAGTGCCATAGGTTGAGACGAGAGCTTCGATTGAGGGAACAGCAACCAAAGCTTGAGAAGCCCAAAGCTATGCGGGGTTTGTATCACAGGCTAAGAGGAGAGGATTGATTTAAGTAGCAACCATAGCTTGATTGCGTCCTCGCCCGACGACGCTCAATCGAAAGCGATTTCCACCAAACCAAACTGCCTTCCTTTTCGAAATATCGCCCACATATCAACCGTAGGAACCTTCCACGCTTCCCCATACAACCATTTTGAGCTTTCTATTCGACGGCACACTCTTACTACCCACAAATGCATCCCACGTAAAACCCTAAGTACCTTCCCGATCTCCCTGACGTCTGTGAGCTGCTCCCACGAGAGCTGGTGGTTAGCCTTCCAGTCTGGGTCTTCCATGCCTGCCCAGTCATCCAACCTAAACACACAGAAAAATACGCATATGACCCGTCATCATGTTCGACTCAGGTGGGGAAGGACGTGTTTCTGCTTCGCATTGATGTGTGCAAGTCTCCTCTGTCTTCCGAAGTCTGCATGAGTGCACGTTTCTGGAAACAGGTATATGTGACTCAGGAAAGCCTGGTAGGTGGTCACCCAAGGATTGAACGGAGATACACACGCTGGCCTTTCCCTAACGTCGCATATCAAAAACTGAGCTAACCTCAGTGGCAGCGCGCACTGTACCCTAACATCAACAACCACCAAGAGTAAATGCAACCTACGCAATAACCACGGATCAACCGAGGGGAACCGGGTAAAAATGCCGCGCCGCACATCCGCAAGACAAACAGATCACCAACAGACGAAAGATACCGATCGTGCCAACACAAATAGCACCACCACGCGCAGCATCGTTGATATGATGAATCTGAAGTGGGGCAACAGCAGTACCGTCACGCACCCCACCGCTTGGTGACCCCGCCATACAAAAGTTGCAAAAACAGCAAAGACATTAGCAACACCGGCGGTAGCAATGTCGGCAGAGGCAGCAGCAGCTTCAAACTACACATCACCACCACACCGGGCAAAGGTAATTCCAGCGATATTACATCACCACGCCATCACCATCAACAAGAACCACGATCACCACGATCACCACCTCTACCAACAACAACAACAACAACAACCGCAGCCAAAAAAGAAACAAAGGCCAAGCAGGTTTTCGAACAAGCACGGTTCCTCCTCACCCGTCCATCATCGGCGTAGACAAAGACCGCACGAGCTTCGCCAACAGCTCCTTCGACGCGGAAGCCACCAAGCCTCGCCCAACGGCCGAAGTCGCCGCAACAACCTTCTTGCCAGATCCTGTTGTTGCTACGGGGGGTCCAGCAGAATCGACCGGTGAGGAGGAGGGGTTG